AGGGAGTCATCTACATTTATTTTGTATTATCTTAACACTGTTAGATTTTTCAAGGTAGATGTGCATACTTTTTTAAAAAAGATAATGAGACTAAGTTAATGTGTTTTTGTTTTATGGTACATAATTTTTAGAAGAGTGGTTTGTTAGGTTATAATTTATGTACCACACAATTCATTCTTTCAAAGTGTTCATGTCAGTGTTTTTTAGAGACTTCATGGATTATTCAGTATCACCACTACCCAATTTTAGAATATTTCCATGTGACAACAAGAGGCTTTGCACTCATTTTCACTCTGCATTACTCCTCAAGTGTTCCCCCATAACTCTGGGTAACCATTGATCTGCGCTCTGTCTCTATAGATTTGCCTATTCTGGACGTTTCTTATACTTAGAATTATACAATATATGGTCTTTTGTTACTGACTTCTTTCACTTGATAAAATGTTTTTAAGATTCATCCGTGCTGTAATAATTACATTCCTTTTTAAGGCCGAATAGTATTTCATTGTAATGGATGTACCAAATTTTGTTTATTCATTTGTCAGCTAGTTAAAAAACATTTAGATTATTGGTACCTTTTAACCATTATAAATAATGCTGCTATGAACATATGCATACACATTTTTGTGTGGACATAGGTTTTTATTTATCTTGGGTATGCACTTAGTAGTAGAATGACTAGGTCATTTTGGTAACTCAATTTGTGAACTTCTAGGAACTGCAAACTACTTTCCATAGCAGCTGCAGCATTTCATATTTCCACCAGCAATCTACTAGCGTTCCCACATCTCTGTAGCCTCACCAGCACTTGTAATTATCTATCTTGTTTTTATAGCCATCCTAGTGGATATATAGTGGCATGTCATTGTGGCTTTGGTTTACATTTCTCTAATGACTAATGATATTGAGCATCTTCTTTGTACGTCTTCTCTAGTGAAATGTCTATCAGATCTTTTGCTCATTTTTTAATTAGTTATTTGACTTTTTATTATAGAGTTCTAAGAGTTCTTTATACATTCTGGATGTAAGTCAGTTCCTGGTCAATGTATCATTTGCAAATATTTTATCCCATTCTGTAGGTTGTCTTTTCACTTTCTTGGTAGTGTCCTTAGAAGCACAAATGTTTTTAATTTTAATGTCCAATTTATCCGTTTATTGCTTTTGTTGCTTGGCATATCTATTGTTATTGTGTCTGACAACCCATTGCCAAACCCAAGGTCATAAATATTTACATTTTCTTCTAAGAGTTTTATAGTTTAGTTTCTACATGTAGGTATATGTCATCCATTTTGAGTAAATTCTTACTTATATATGAGATAAGGATCCAGTTTAATTCTTTTGCATGTGGATATTTTGTTATCCCAGAATAATTTGTTGAAGACTGTATTACATTCTAACACTAATTCTCTTACATCAGCTGAGTGTCCTTTAGTTCAATTCAATCTGACGCTAACTATTCGCAGTTAACATCTAACCCACAAATTCAAGGACAAGGTCCTCAACAAGACTGTCCTTACTTCAAAGACCAACTGCAAGTGGGGTCCCCATGCTACCCTTATTTCTGCTTGGAAGAATTGGCTACAAAATTGGGAGTTCCTAAGAACCCCTTTAAGGTTTGATAGTTCACTAGAACAACTTACCTATCTCACAAAAAGTGCTATACTTACAATTGCCATTTTATTATAAAGGATTTAAATGAATAGCTGGATAAAGGAGTACACAGGATATGTCTGGAATAATCTGGAGCACAAGTTTCTGTCTTCATAGAGTTGGTTGCAGTACCCTCCTGGTACATCAATATGTTCACTATCCTGGAAGCAATTCAAGCCTCATGTTCATAGTTTTTTTGTTTTTTAAGATGGAGTCTTGCTCTGTTGCCCAGGCTGGAGTGCAGTGGTGTGATCTCGGCTCACTGCAACCTCCGCTGCCCAGATTAGAGTGATTCTCCTGCCTCAGCCTCCCGAGTAGCTGGGATTATAGGCGTGCACCACCATGCCCAGCTAATTTTTGTATTTTTGGTAGAGATGGAGTTTTGCCATGTTGGCCAGGCTGGTCTTAAACTCCTGAACATCAAGGCATCTGCCCTCCTTCTTGGTCTCCCAAAGTGCTGGGATTACAGGCATGAGCAACTGCACCCGACCTTGTGTTCATAGTTTTTATTCAAGGTATTTATTACATAAGCATGTCATTGGCCATGTGACTAAACTTAATCTTCAGATCTTCTTCTTTCCCCAGAGGTAGGAGAGGACTGGGAATGCCTCTAATTACATGAGATTTGTTATTCTTCTGCCAGCCTTCCCCATCCTGTAGGCTACCTGTGGCAACAACCCTGTGCCACTTCATTGGCACAACAAAGGCACATCTATCACTCAGGGAATTTCAAGAATTTCTGAAACTCTGTGCCAGGAACCAGGGACAAAGACCAGATTTTAAAAAATATATTAATACTTATATGACAACTATTCTTCCTTCCATTGACTTCTCTGGGCAACGTTATCAAAAATCAACTAGTTACAAATGTGTGAGTTTATTTCTGTACTCTCAATTCTGTGCCATTAGATCTGTATGTGTATCCTTATACCAGGACCACAATGTCTTGATTACTGTAGCTGTCATACATTTTGAAGTTGGGAAGGATGCATCCCCTAACTTTCTCTTTTTTTTTTCAGGATCGATTTAGCTATTTTGGACTTTTTGTATGTCCATATGAATTTTAGGATCAGCTTGACAGTTTCTGTAAAAAAGCCAACTGGGATTTTGATAAGAATTATGTTCAATCTATAGATTAATTGGGGGAGTATTATCATTTTAAGAATATTAAGTTTTCTCATCCATGAATGTGGATTGTCTTTTCATTTTTTAGATATTCTTTAATTTTTTTCAATGATGTTTTTAGTTTGTGATTCACAAGCCTTACGCTTCTAATGTTAAATTTATACCTAAGTATTTTGTTCTTTCCATGCTGTTGTAAATGGAATTGTTTCCTTGATATCATTTTCAGAATGTTCATTACTAGTGTGAAGAAATACAATTAATTATTATGTATTGATCAACTATCTTGCAACCTTACTGAACTTGTTCTTTAGCCTTTATAGTTTTTTAGTTACTTCCTTAAGATTTTCTAAGTAAAAATAAAACATTATCTACAAAGAGCGATAATCATACTTCTTCCTTTCCAGCCTGGATGCCTTTTCTTTCTGTTTCTTATTTAGTGAACCTGTCTGTAATCTCTAACAAAATGTTGAATAAAAGTGGTATGAGCAAACATTCTTGTGCCTTATTTTAAGCAGAAAACAGTTAATGTTTCGCCATCAAGTATTATAGTTGTAGATTTTTCGTAGATGGTCTTTACTAGGTTGAGGAAGTTTCCTTCTATTGCTAGTTTGTTTAATGTTTTGATGGTGTTGAAGCAGGGTGTTGGATTTTGTCAGATGCTTTTCAGCATCTGTAGAGATATTGTATGATTTTTCCCTTTATTAATATGGTATGTTATGTTATTTGATATTTATATGATAAATCAACTTTGCATCCCTGGGATAAATCCTACTTGGTTATAGAATATAATTCTTTTTGCTATTTTACATACTCTAAAATAATCTAAATATTCCAAAATTATTTAGGCTTTTAAAATGAAAAAGAATATAAATTAATAAATAAAAGTTGCACAAGTCACCTGGTCTTAGATTACCTCTAAGTCTGCAGCACCAGTATTTCAGAACTGGAATTCTATTTTCCTGAAAGTACAATTTGAAGTATCGTCATTAAAATACTGACCTGCATAATCTGGTTGATAACATAGGACCAACCTAGGACAAAAAATTGATAAACTTTTTGCTTATACAATTTTAATAAACTTGTTGCAAGATCCCATGTATAATTAATAAATGCTTAAACATCTTGAAGTCATATAATGTCATCATTTTGGTGGCCAAACTTTAAAAAGCAGATAATAGCTGATGAACTTCCCCATATAAAAAATAGTCAGCAATCACAAATAAATAATAAAATCATAATAAAATAGCTGTATGTATTGAAAACTTGGATTTGGGGTTCATGACAAGCTTATGAAGCCATTTTATAGATTGAGAAAATAAGCCTCCAAGAGGTTAAATTTGCAGAAACATTCCCGGAAATCAATACTTAAATTCTGCTTTTATGACCCTGCAGTCTCGCTCTGATAAAGTGACCGCTTATAGAGTGTTTCTGTTTTCATTTTGTTCTTCCTATTATTGGTATTTTTGCCTGGAAATTATTCAATGGGTTTGTGAAGTCTTTATTCTTTTATAACTTAGTGTCCCAGTACAATGTAGCAGTGTGTTTGCTTATATTCCATAAATTTTATTTCATAAATGTATTCCATAAATTTTATTCTATAATTTTATACACATATGTGTTCCATAAATTTCGGTGCCCATTAGAATGTTTTGCATAAAGTATTGTAGCTCTAAGTAATATTGCATTATATATATATTTTAAACTACCTATCATGGACTATAAAAAATGAATGTAATTGTCTCAGTAAAACTAGGCTTAAGATCACTTCAGGCTATATACACACACTTGTGTGAGTGAGTCCATGCATCACACATGTGTGCTCACATGACTGAATTAATCATATGATGACTTTTAAGTGATTTAATTGATATGTCTCCTAAATAATTAGTTCATATTTTTACATTTCAGTTATCACTGTATCTTGAAATGTCATTAATAAAAATTTTTTAGTTTTTCATTGATTTGTCATTCATCAGCCACTAACTGGCACAGTCCTATGAGTCTGATGTTGTTTTACAGCTATGAATCTGGTCTAGAAAAAAAAATTATTACAATGAAATTACTTAATATTTTTTCCAACATTTTGCAATAGAAATCCCATTTAACTATCTTTATGATTTTCAGTTTTTTTATTTGAGTATTTTGGAATTACTTTGATTTCTCACTTAATATTTTCTTTCCTTCTTTCAATTTTTCTTCCTTTCTTTTTTTTTTTTTTTTTTTAGCATTTCAAGAAATAGATAATATCAAGGAGACCGGGACACCGGGAGTGGGAGAGATTGGACTGGGAGACTCAGCAGGTCAGGACATTTGCATTACCATTTGCTGGTCATTCTTTTGCCATCAGTTTTACAATTAATTCTCTTGCCACTTGCTTATTTCTTCCATGTGCTTACTTGAGTTGTTCTCGGTTTGCAATTTATGAGTAACACTCTAATAATATAAGAAGCCGAGCATTTGGGTGTCTTCCTTTTATAGTTTGAAGATGAAAAAAAAAAACAAAACAACCAATTAAACTATCAAGAATAGAAAAAAAATTTCTTACCTAAGTTACATTGATGCCCAAATTTATATTTTTTCTATATTTTTTCCTTGTATAAACTGTTTTGAAATGAAACTTCTTAATGACTTTCCCTTAATGACTTTTAAGAATCAAATTCTTAAAACATGTAGAATGTTAATAAAATGTAATTGTAGTGGTGGAGCACCCAGGTCATGAAAATCGAGTTTCTTTTCTTCTCTGCCGTATACTCTGTGCTGGGGTCCACCTTTCAAAGCTCTTGACACGCTTCAGAGTCAATCTGTTTGCCAACACTAATAGTAACTACAGAATGTTGACTACGGTGTATGAAATGAAAGTTAATTAAATCGGACAATTGCTATGTAAATAAAAGGTCTCAATAGTCAAAGAGTCTCCTGGGAGCATTCAGCAGTCATTGTACAAGGTTAATTTTAGTCACATTTCTCAGTAAGCTGGAGCCACACTGGCCTTTGAAGTCCCCATTGCCATGAATGTGGCTAATGACTGTGTGTTCATTCCTCGGTCCAGGGAAGTGTCTTGGTTGTTTCAACAATGCTCACAACTCTCACTATTATTGCTTAGTTATGAGTGAAGACTTGGTTCCCTCCCTCTTTGTTACCCCTTCCGTGTTACCGCTTCCACAGCTCCCCTGGAGTGTGTCTTAGCTCCTCCACATCCAGGTCTTCTGTAGAACAACTACCAGTGGCTTTTTCAGTTTTCATTATACAGAGAGATAAATGTCTTTGTCCTTCAGTGTGATCAGATCTCTTCAATTAAAATGACTTACTCATAAAGGAACTAAGCTTCAAGTGATTCTATCTGGATGCTTCAGGGATTTTGTTATTTTTTAGCATAAACATTAGTATATTAGGGATTAGACAAATTTTTATTGGCATGTACCTTGGGAGAACACTGCTTACCAGCTTAAAGGAAAGATACATTTCAACTATATCTTGATGCAATGCATATGCTTAAGTCTCTGCTTTTAGCTAAATTAGGTAAGAGTCTTGCAAAAAACTGTATTTGAAATGATATGCCAAAGTAAGTATGTCTGCACAGATTCTTGCAGAGTTAAGAACCACTTTTCAATGATACTTTGATAAAGAGTATTCTGATAATAAACATCCCCGAATTTTTAGTTTGCAAATATTACGGAAATAAACATTAAAACCAAATAAGTTGAAGCTAAATGTGGTGGGTGTTCTTGGCATCCAACTATTATATAAATATTGACCTTAAATTGAATACACTTGTTGTTTGACTTTTGCATGTTTGGAAGCAAAATCAGGAAGGAAGGGACAAACATCTCATAGATCCCTATAGTCTTATGAGATAGAAAGAAACTTGGTCTAATCAACTTATTTCACAAGCCTAAATTACTATCCTCTGTAACATGAAACATTAGTAATAAAACTAAATCTATGTTTCTTGGCATGATGCAGGTCTACTACATTATGCTACCTCACAGGTTATGGAACACAAATCATTCTGCATACTACATAATGCACACACATAAAAATACCATCATATTTGCCATTTTGCCAATTTATCATTTGATAAAGAATGCTATTGGTACTAACACTTCACTTTGGATTATACTAATATTCAAAGAAATCAAGATCATAAAAATGTTTTTGATAGTGCCATTTCCCTGGAAAAGTTTTCTCTTTAGCTAGATGAAATAAAAAGATGATGATCCATTCATTAATTCATTTATTCATACAAGGAAAATTCCTACTCTCCCAGAGCTTTCATTCTTATGGAAGAAAACGTGAAGTGAAGATTTTGATGAGTATGTCAGTGGGGATAAGTACTAAGAAGAAAAATAAAGCAGGGATACTAGAGAACACTGAAAGACCATCTCAGATACACTATCTAGGGAAAGACTCTTTAATAAGGAGAGAATGGAACAGAGGACTGAATGGAATAAGAGAATAATTTCAAAATGTGGGGAAAGAGAGGTACATTCAACAGGAAGAGCCATTATGAAGAGTGTGCTTGGTGTGTTGAAGGAATGGCAAAGGCAGTGGTAGGAAGACAGGAGAAGACAAGTGAGAGATGACACAGTGGAGGCTGAGTGGTGTCTATCATTTACAGCCTAGTAGACTATGATGGACCTTGAATATTATTCTGAGGGAGATGGAGATCATTAAAGGAATCTTAGCAGATGAGGAGCATGTTAAGGTTTATATGTTTTAAGGATCAGTCTGACTTACAAGTTGTGCACATCATTTAAAAAAATTTCCCTTTATAGACAGAATCTAAATTATGAGTAAAAATAGACTTAATAATGATTAGGGCAACATTTTCTAATCAGGATATTGACTGATGCTTGTGTTCAAGGGGCTAATGTTAGATAATACAGCTATCCTTTTTCTTTTCCATGTCTTTAATTTGCAGAATTCTTTTGAATTTGAATTATGGTTTTTGGCTTTATATAATAACATTGTTTTATAATAGGGACCTTAATGATAATGATATATAATATTTAAAATTCGTGTGCATTCAATTAGTTGCTTGGCACAGCTGAATTTCTCGTTTGTTGGCCATTTATAATTTCAACCCAAACCACATAGCTTTCTATAACTCCGGAAACAAGTCCTGGATTTTATCTCCTATTTGCAAAGGAAGATGTTTGAAAATCATGTAATTCTTTTATTATAATTATTCCAATCCATGAGACTATTTATGAGCAGGAACCATAGAGTAGTTAAAACAAATCAATTGAGTATGAATTAGCAGGCATGAATTCTGAAGGCAGCTCTGAAACTTACTAGCTGGGTGACTTGGCGTCTTTGACCTCTGTTTGCCTCCTCCATGACCTATGGGAGAAGTGCAGTGTTGTTGTTGCTGCAGTTCCTTCACGTTTGTCAAGCCATTGTACACGTATTAGGTAATGAAGAGAAAATGGGTGAATAAAGAGTTACTTACGTTAGAAGTAACCATTTATAATACAAATGAGAAAATAAGGGATATGGTTTCATGTAAATCACAGAGGATAAGATCCATATTCATTTTCAGAAAATTATTGTGTCAAAGTAGATATTATTGATACTTGGAAGGAAGGATTATTTCTAAAAATATCATTTCTATCATGTGAAGAATCAAAATAAATATTTAAAAAGTAATTTGGGAGGTGGGAAGTGCCTTCTTCTAGCAATCTTGTGGCAGCAGTTTTCAATTTCCAAATCAGTATTTACCGGAAAGTTTTCAAATTTCTAATCAATTCATTAGAAACTATTTAAAATCTCTACCTAGGTTATCTAGGCTTAGATTTTCATGATTTGCATGTCAGAATATTCATGCAACAAAAATATATACATACATACCTGTTTATGGATGTTTAATATTATATTCCTAAAAATTCTTACTCTAAATTCTTTCCTTTTCAGTCATAAGAATAAGAATCATTTCCGTGACGTCAAA